TGTGTTGTATTATGTCTTTTACCAGCTTTTACAAAGCAAATTTCCCATCTGGGGCAATAAAAAGAAGAAAGTAAGTCAGTTGCGATGACCTTTGCTGCATGTACTGGAAGGGTCCTGATAAACCCCAGGTTACTTAGAGATGAAGCACGTACAGTAATTGTTAAGCAGAGCTATATCAATTTGCGGTTTACCTTGGCTTTTGGAAGGGAAACCAATTTTCCCACTTCATTCTTTTGCCTTTTTTTTCCTTGAAATTGTTTTTGTTTAAATTTGATGTATTTGCCTATGTTCTGCAGGTTCCTTCGTTCCAGAGCCTTAAAAACAAATTACCGAGATCTGTACCGCCCTTCCACGGGGGCTGTCATGCTACTGGCTGCGGTGCACACCTGTGATCAGGTATGTGGCAATAGGGAGGGAGTGATGAATTGCAGGTGATTAAGCAGAACTCTGGTATGATGCAAAAAGAGAAACTTACAGTATTTTACTTATCAAGGTAAAAGTGTTAAAGAGCTTGGAAGACTATGGCAATGCAAAGCTGAAACTTTCCATTGCTTTTTATACTTGAAGAGCTACAGTACATCAATAATTGAAAATATTCCTGTGTCTGTATTATATATGTGCATTACAAAATGCAATAAACGTGATTGGTTCCAATTCTCATTTTTAATACTTCCTGATATGTTCATTTTTATTATACATAAATACAGCACATGCACATATATACTGTGCTATCTGCTCATGCGCACCAGATTCTCTTAGTATGAAAATATTTTGACTTGAGTGTTTTTTAATTCATAAATGCTCAAGGAAAGGGATGTTAATCCAAATATTACTCTATTACTACCCTGCTATATTCTTACCAATATGTTGTGGTATACAATATACTAATTTATATTAAATATTTGGAGAGGCTTGACATTCCTCTAATTCCCTATGCAGAGTGAGATTTTTTTTTAAATGCCCTTAATGTCTATGACACGTCAGTGATCATGGCTTTCGTTCTGCTTTGGCTGCTCACAAGGACACAGACCATCAGAAAGATATAAAGGTATTTTAATATGTTACCGTGTGTCAAAGAGAGAGGTGGACCTTTGTTCCCATCAAGCTCATCCAGTTCTATTTCCAACTCTCCTCCCATAGAAAAAGTGGACTGTATAAGTTACCCGTCATCCCTAACCTACATGGTGAGGCCCCACGCAAAGATGGGGAGAACTCCACACTAACAGGTGCCTCAGGCATCAGAATTTGGAATTCCTTCCAGGAGCCTTGAGGTGTGAGGCAGTAGTGCTGCCTGCAATTTAATGTTCTCCAAACCAATAATACCTCTGCAGTGTCACATACGGTGTGTTAGGGTGCATATTAAAAATTGGAGGAGGAGGAGGAAACTGGGGAATGGCTCCTTATGCAAGATATTTCACCCTTTGTTTCTCCCTTTATCCTTCTTTTATTTTTTCCAGGTGAGTGCCTATGGCTTTATGACTCCAGATTACACGAAATACTCAGATCACTACTATGACACTTCCTATCACAAAGTGGTCTTCTACATCAATCATGACCTGCAGCTGGAGATGAACCTGTGGCAGCAGCTCCACAAAGAGGGCATCATCAAACTGTACATGAGGCAGTGAGCACGCTCAGCCTGTTGCCACGGAAATGCCCCAGGACGCCGGCTCTGTGCTGCGATGGAGTAACTGGCTTGCTTAGTGTGCCCTCTTGGGCAAAAGAAGAAAAGTTAAGAAATTCCCAGACATGTTTTGCGAGTCCACCTAGAGACATGTACACACCTTCAACTGAATTTTTCCTGATTAAAACCTTTGCAGTTTTGGCAGTTCTGGATTTCAGACAACCACTATGTTTTTAAATAGCTGAAAATCCTTCAGAAGGGGGTGGTGTATGGAAACTGTTGTTAGATTCCAACTGACAGTGTCTCAGAGCAGCTCTTGACTGGTATTACTACATGAAGAGAAGACGGTTCACTGAATGAACTTCGAAAGCAGATGTATTTTTTGGACATCCGGTTATACTAACACCTGTTTTACTTTATTGCAACACTTTTTTTTTACAAGTGGTTCTTGGGGAGTGAAGGGCAAATTGATCTTTTTTAATATGAATTTCCCTCCACTTGTCTCTTCTAGTGCAATTCAGAGGATTTGCACTTTGTTGTCATGATTTTACACATCACCATACAGACAAGACTTACAGTCGCCCTTGCAACTGTGGCCTTGTAACGTACTACCCACATTTTTGTAATTGTGTCCAATAAATACTTTTTGCATTTTGTTTTATCCCATGTTGGGGCAATGTTTCATATCAGGCTCCTGGGATGCTAGAAAAACTGTCAGTGTTTAAGTTTGCAAGCCCTGAAGAATATGCTCAAGACACACACTCACCAAATCGAGCTATCTGACCCCACCCTTGACAGAGCAGTGTAGAGAAGTGACTCACATACAGTAGGTTGCAGAGCTGTTCCTGTGTTTCACTGTGAAGTGAGAGTGTGAATATATTTACTGTATCAATACCTATGGGGCTGTACAGGAAGACCAACAGAAGAAAACAAGCAGGTATTACACAGTGTTTTATTGGTAAAATTCAAGAACATGTACCCAAACTGCTTCAGCCTTTGTTTATATATACCAACTTTTATACAACAAAGTTCAACTATGTATTAAAAAGCAGCCCTGATCAATAGGGTTTGTCTTTGTATTTGAAAGCACTCCAAGACACATTTTCTGCAGTGATCATTAACAATAAGCATAATTCTGTAAACAACCAATGTAAGGAAAATCTGAACAATGATCCTTCCAATGCAAATCAAAACCACGCACCTTGCTTCTCATCTCCCCAAAAATGTAAATGTCGCTTTGTGCTGTTTGCAAGCTGTCAGGGCTTGGCCTGCTAGGAAAATATTTTGAAAATTTATCCATACATCCATTTTCTAATTTTTTATCCAATTTGGGTCTGGGGGAGCTAGATCTTATGCTAATATTTTTGATGCATTCTTTAAACCGATTATGGCAAAATAGTGGTGTTTCCTGTACTCTGAAAGGTGAACTGTGGAGATATGCTTTAGTATTCTTTGAGTGAAGCCAAGTGTTTTGTAACCACTGTTGCATTATCGTGACAGTTGCAAAGTCATTCTCTAAACACATCCTAAATTTTTACAGCCACACTTTGAAGTGACACGTGGAGAACTTGACCTTTGGTCACAGATATTTGTTTAGTAAGTGAGCTATGTGTGGTATTACAGTATGTATTTACATACAATAATAACATGGCTTTCACCGAGGAATTGCTAGGCAAGTGTTAGTGCATGTTGGAAGCTTTCCCAGCAGTCAGGGCCATAACTGAAGCGAAGCCAAGTCCAATAGGAACCGTGCGAGCGATGAAAGTTGATTCCAGAACCTCTGCTGCCCCTCTCCCTTGTCTACTTCTTTGGTTTCTTCTCCGATTTGACCAGGTCTGAGAATTCTGCAGGGCAGCACAAACCAAAAGCATTATATGGGAGACAATTGCAGTCAAGTACTGTAAATTGAATTGCTTGCTAAGAAAATGTTTCTCATCTGTTATGAAAATTTGTGTTTTACTGGTTCCTTCACATTAAATATTTGTCACATCATTTCTCAGGTCCGCCAATGCGGGTCCAAACCTTCAGTGTTAAAGTTCAAAGTGCTTGACTTCAGAAACCCCGAAGGTTTTTAAATGTTAAAGCATCGAATGCTTGTCTGACAAAGGGCTAAAGCTATTATAGACTTCCTCAGTCAGAATTTCAGTTTTGTTTTTTGTGCATGCCCAATTTGAGTGGGATATTATTTTTAAAATGTTTAGAAAATCTACAGCATTAGTAAAAAGAGCTTTATACTTTTATTTTTCAACCAAATTAAATTAGGTGCACTGTACCTGTAAACGTTGTGATCATGTGTGATCATGTAAAATATCACCACAAGAGGGCCCTAGTTTGTTGGATGTAAATAACATCAGCATTTACCTTACTCTTTACACCTATTACTCACTCAATACTTCACTGCCCCCCTGTGTCTTTGTTATAAATTGCATTCCTTTTAATTCCCTAGGTTTTTGCGTTGCACAGTTGCCTGCAAAGTTCGTCTGTCCCACAGGTAAAATCATTAACCCATGCTAAGTGCTATTGGCCTCTGCAGAGCTGTCTCAAACCTTTCACGGCAAGCAGCAGGTCTGCAGTTTTGACTAATGGAGAGGGACAGCATTCCACCTCATCAGCCCTTTGTATAAATCAAAACTGCTAGGTACCTGGAGGCATCGCAGTATGTTCTCACAAAGTCTAGTACTAGAACCCATATGTTTGCTAAGGGCTTGGCTATACCAAAAATCAGCAGCTTTCCCCTATTGTAGTTCCTTCATTCACCCATTTCTCCTCGCACCTCTGAAATCAATCCTCCCATCGCCATCCACATCTGCAGCCTGTAGCATGGCCTCAGCCTCCTCATCTGACAGGGGCATCACGGGCATGGAGCTGGGCACTGTCGACAGGATGTACCTGCCAGGACAGCAACAAGTAAGTGCCAATATGCTCTCTCTAAAGTAGCAGGAGACCAGAGCAGACTACTCTCGATACAAGCTCATGCATCACTTCATGTGCAATAGCACTACATGTAGTGGAGGTTTCCAATCTTTAACATAATATCTTCCTCTCTACACATTCATAAAGCTAAAAGGTTACTTTTAGGCTACAAAATATAGAACTTTGAGGATTAACTTTTAGCTTAAAAGTCTCTAAAAGTTTAGCATGAGTGTGCCACATGCTCAGATTTTGCTTCTAAAAGGGAAAACATTGCAAAGAACAGAACAATGCATAATGTTTTAGATTTTGCACAGCAGTGTATGTGAGAGAACAGCAGTCCATCTTTTATCAGTCATACTTGATCTCATTCCATTCAATGTAGCCACTGTTGTCTTTGTCCAGCATCTTAAAGGCCTTCTTGATAGATTCCTCCTGCTGCTCTGATGTCGTAAATTGTTGCATGTACTCAAAGAACTTACTGTAGTTAAAGTTTCCTGCCAAAACAACCCCCAACAAAGATTTGTTAGTCATTAGAACATTTATCTGAACCATATTATCTTCACTTTCTGGCCATGCAGTTCAGAACAAATCCTGAAATTCCTTCTGATCCTCCAAATGCCTTCTATAATGGGGATGTCCAGCTCTGGGCAGCCCCAATCCAGCAGTTTTTGTAGGTCACTGTTAAATTTCTAAAGATATAGAACAATTCCATTATCATCATCAGTTAAACATTATTTGTAAACAGATCTATGAGGAGCAGCAAAAAGGCTGAGATGTTTTACAACTAAAATGCAATCTTCACCCACCAAGGACCAGAATATTCTTTATTATAAAGACTGCTTTCTTGATTCATCAATAGCTAAAAGCTGTTGCCAGCCTTCAAAAACAGGTAACCTAGAGGACTGGTCTGAGTGAGGGTCTCCAGTTCCAGATTAAGACCCCTCCTCTATAGGATTTGTGTATTGAAACTGATGAGCTGATGATGACAATCCATTGACTTTATTCTTATTTATTTGTTGGATTCTAGGATGTGATTCTGCATTGAGGTCAAATTACTGTGACACATGTGCTTTGTGCCTGGCAGGTCTATACACCTTTGCCTGAACTCACACTGATCCATGCAATAATACAGACACAGTTTAATGAGAGCATCTTTCACCTTGGAGCCTCATTTCTCTGGGCATGCGGTTGATATCCTGGTCGCTCAGTGATGCGCCCATGGCCAGTGCCATCTTTTTTACCTGCATGCTGAATTCGTCCTCCATGACCTCTGCCTATATGGTACTGCACAGCAGGATAATTTGGGTCAAATCACCTAGTGCTGGAAAAGAGATAACTGTACCTTATTACTTTTCCTAAACAATTTCATTTTTTATTTTTGGACATTTTGTCTAAAAAAATATGCCCTTTCTTTTCATGTTTTAGGTATAGACAGATTATTTAATGACACATCATATCATCACTTTCACTAAGTGCTTATCCAATTCAGGGTCTCAGTGGCCCACAGCCTATCCCAGGAAGCATCATTCAACATGCTGTCCTATCTTTTAAATCTTAAATCGCTCATGCACAGAATGTCAAATGTTAAGGCTATGACAATGTACTGTACCATAGACACCTGAGGCCTGTGGCTTCCATGTCTACCAGGCTTAATCACGAAATGCAAGCCTTTATTCAACTAACAGGTTGCTTGATCGGAATATGTGCAAGTCTTTTTTTTACATAAAAGTCTGAGATTTTGCCAATCAAATGCAGTAGTTAAAAGGCATCATCTAACATGCATAGGAGCTGAAAACAGTCAGGCAGTTCAAATTAATCATATTCTTAAGTCAGTTAAGGGTTTGATTGTGTAACTGGGAGCTGTGCTGGAATAAAAACCAGCAGGATTGTGGGCCTCCAGGACTAGGATTGGGAATGCCTATATTAGACAACACATTTATGGTTTCATGACAATATGCGTTCATCCTTCAATTATTTTGGGTGGGATGGAACATATAGTAGCTGTACCAGATGCTTTTAACAGCTTTCATGGTAGCCCACTGTGTACCTGCTCTTGATAACCTGGATTTTAAGAGTCCTCAATGCATGATCCCTGTGCCTCGATTAGGGTGAGAAGACCCTCAAAGGCATCCAAAAAATTGGCATTGCAGGTGCCAAGCAGGCAGTAAAAACAAAATAGAAAAAAAACCTTTTCATATGATATACAGTGCTGAATACCCCAGTCTAACAGGCTTGTGTTAGCACAGATTAATCTGTAGCCCCAAGTATTCATTTAGTGTGGTAACTGTAAGGTTTTTCTGTCTTATTTTATTTTAGCCAGCACTCTGTTATACTGTGTCCTCACTACATCTTCCATTGGTGTCGACCCCAGCCTGATGTTTACAGCTTGTGGACATCTGATATATTGTTTGCCAAAGACACCAGCTGCTTGTTTTGAGTGTATGCACGATGCTGCTTTTGGGTATGCCTCATTCCATTCCACACCAGAGATTTCTTGCATTGAACAGAACCAGGAAGAGTCTGTCCATTTTCTTATTACTGCCAGTAAACCAAGTTGCAGCCTGAGGTAATGCAAAGGAGCTAGTCCCCTAGGGTGAAGTACTGACCGACCTCTCCCCTTGACGGTATGTGCTGTTGACCCACTGATCCCACCCCCAGTCTACCTGAGTGGGTTTCCCTTTTCCTCCACTGGGGCCTTTATTTCTGGAAATGGAGTCTTATGATAACAGCTTGTAATGTCAAATCTTCAGTTACACTGTGCCTGGATGTTCTAGAGTCCCTGTGTGTAATCTTATTGCTATTTCCATTCCCTTGAAGTGCTGAGCTGGCAGGGAAGCTCAGAACCTCCAGACCTTTTTCCAGCTCTTCCCAAACTGCACACCACACCAACAGGACAAGCAGGGCCACTGCCCCAGCCCCCTCCCTCCCCCAAAACACAAAATCCCCATTGCTACCACACTACCCATCCTATAGTAATACACAGTTTAAAATAGATGCCTTCGCATAGGGCCATGTCAGTTCTGATGTGGCCAAGAAGAAGAGATCCACAGTCTTTTAAATATGTGACAAATTATTTTAGCAGGTTTAAAAAAAGATCATAACATGTCTCCATTAGAACACATTCAGTGGAAACTCAAATAATGTATGTATTTAAAAAAAAATATTTCAACTTTATTCGCTGCTCTCTTTCAAAATAATAATAAAATGATATTAATAGACTGGTTTTATCTTGTGTCTATAAAACATCTATTGCATCAGCAAATCTTCATAGATCAGGTTGTCATCATAGAATGTTTATCTGCCTGATATGGTAACTGAATGCGAGATTTCAGTGTACGATATCTTCATTGCCACCCACCCAGCATTTCTTCAAATACTCCAAGGCAACTATTGTGCCTTCAAAGAGCATATTTAACTTTTGCAAACGTAAACAAACATAAGATTCACATCACAATCATTACTAGTTGTGTTTCAGTATATCCCATGTGCATAATATTTAAATATTATAAGCAGCGTTTAAAAATTAACAAAACACAAAAATTCGCATACACACCATTTGAGATTTTTCCCAAAGAAAATCTTGAGAGTCCCAAGATTTTCAGAGCAGCAGTTTCTCTAAATGGAAATTATCGAGACAAAACTGAATGTCTGTGTATTTTTTCAACTGTTGTCATCTTAATATCTTTTCTTATTCAAGCAATTTGGGTTATCAAATCCCATATGTCTCTCTGCTCTCAGCCCTTGACTCTGCCTTCAAGGTGTGCACAACGCTGTGCATCAAGCCTTCTGTGACTTCATTGCAGTGATAGTGCAGATCAGTCTCACCACTTGCTATTCTACCCCAGAGTTCGACACCTCCCCTTGCAGCACCCTGCTTTCTCCACAGAATCCCCTTTTTTGCTCCTTTGATGTCCACAGTTGTTCACTCACCAGCAGTGTGGCCAAGATCCTTGGTTGTTAGAAACCCTGGGTGCGTCTTGTCTTCCAGTGCACTCTGAACCTTCCTCTCTGTCCTGTCTCTTATATACCCACAGGCTGTGCTATTTCCATCTCAGCAGTGCACCTGTCAGCTCTCTGATTCTTGTAACTCCATCAGACCTTTGGCTCTTTTGCACACCAGCCATAGGTTCCTCACCACTTTACTGCGTAGAAAACCAGAAACTCTCATTTTGTGTCTTCCATTTTGTGTTTTCAGCCTACTCTCAGCTGTGTATGCTGAGCTTCTATTCAGCAGCAGACTGACAACTGACAAGGGTGCTAATAGCTTCACAATTTATATTGACAGCTTCCTTAACAACAGTCCAACTGTTTTTTTTTTCCACCTGTGAGCTAACATGAAAATTCTCATTCACATTGACAAGCCTTCTGGTTTGCCATCATATCTCATATTTGTACATGTCCTTGAGAATGTGGTTTCTCCTTAAATTATTTATATATTCAAGTATTAGTAGTTTAGAAAGTAGTGTCTGAGAAAGCCTATTCATTTCAGAGGAATCTTATTATTCTAGAAAAGAAATAAATAGATGCAATTAGTTCTTAAACTCTTTAATTAAACAAAAGCACATTACTTGGTCTCTAAATGAGCTTTCCCAGTGTTGTACTTGAAGAATAATTTATACATTGAGCACAACAGCCACATTCATTGTTTCCAAGTACAGGGCTTAATGTGTTTTTAGAGGTTCTATTTTCTTTTAAAGTTACAAAATCAATTTCCCTACAAATAAAACCATGCTTAAAAACCACAACTGTATTGCAAAAGAGGGAACAGATGATAAATAAACCAATGTGTATTCAATATATTTTTATTAAATATTTCTCTTGTGGTTTTTTAATGTGGTTCTAATTTTTGCCAAAAAAAACAACTGCCTCTAAAACATAAGTTCAGTGAACATGAACAAGAACTGTGATTCGTGTTATTTTAATGACCAACATTTTATGAAAGTTTTTTTTATTCCCTCTCAGCAGGATATGTTTTCAAAAGAAGAGACGTTTTTGGATTTAACCCTTCAAGCTATAAACCCTTAACTTAGACACTGAATTTAAACATTTATCATCCTGTAATGATTGTGTCAGCTGAATAGGGTGTTTTAATTACAGTATTTACTGTAAAACAAGATGGTTTTTAGTCTGTTTTTTAGGGATTCAGATATACTTTAAGCATTTGAATTCTGACTTTAAATATGAGTGTTCTTTTTTCATTTTCTACATTTTATATAGTTCAAAATTTCTTAAATTGTTTTTAATACCTCTTATGGGTATTCTATTTTGGAGTAATGCACCTTTTAGGGTTCTTTTCTCTGTAGTGAGAGACTGGTAATGTTTAGGGAGATGGTGTCATTGCTTTACATTTTTTGTTCTACCTATTAGTGGCTATTTGGGTAATATGATAACTCTTGATTATAAGCAGCAATTTTGTGAATTTAGTTTTTGGATTAAAGTCTCTTCACAATAAGATGTGAACTTTACATACTGTAACTAACTTAACAGGAATTTCTTACTTTGCATAATTTGGGCAATTCTCGAGTAGAAAATGAAGCCTGTGGATTTTTTAGCTTTTATAAACATCCATTATTATACTTGAAATTTTATTAATTCAGCTTTATTTCTTCAAAACACATAGATGCTATTGGGAGCATTTGGGAAAAATGCTTTAATTGAGAATTTAGACACCTGAATTTCATACTAGACAGCTGGGTTTCTGTCCTTAATCCCAGATATCCCACTGCTTGTTTGCCTAGCTTTGAACTTTGACCTCAAGACAGAACCTCTGTCGCCAAAAGTTTCATAACAGATAATGAGCCAAACCTCTCCTTGTTCCTTTCGCCAGGAACATAGTCTCTCAGCTGTTTCCTACTGACAGAAAGTCAGACTTGTCAAACTGCAAATGAAATTTCTCCCCTTTATCCTCTTGCCTTTTTGCTAGAGCAGATTAGGTTGCTTTGCAAAAAGCTAATTTTAAAAATAATCATTTACACATTTCCCCCTGCAAGTCTTTTAGGGAAGAAAATAACCTTTGACCTGACTTTATCAGCTCGAGCTGAGGGATGACCACACGCCATGATCGCTTTAACGTGCCAGTTCACTGTTCTCATGAAGATCCAGCCCAGATGAATAGTGTTTTCTCTCTGGGCTGTGTGTTCTTTGTATTCCCAAGTGCAGTGTGTTTAGCACGTTGGCAAGCTCCATACTAGGATAAGCTCTGTTGAAAATGGATGTGTTATAAATTCAGAATAAACATTAGTAATGTGTGTTGCTTATGTCAGCAGCCATAGAGTCTATGGCACACCAACATATTGACCAACGTCATGTGGTCTTAAAAATCATTTTTACAATATGATATAACACTAAAGACACAGAAAAATGTACACATTCCTAGCCTACTGAAAACCTACTGACACTTCACTTGCATGAATTGATTATTTGGTTCTCCATCTCTGGTGCCATGCCCTGTGAACTGAGATTTCACCCTGATTGTGAGGCATGTTACTTCTGAACATCAGATGTCACAGCTTGTTTGCATGAAATAAACTCATTACATACTAAAATCAGGGAATTGCAGCTACAGGCATATAGTATGTCTTTTGCACCTTCCATCTAAAATCCAAGGTTGTGCCTTGTCTCATTTGTATGGTGAACATTAAACTGCACTGCTCTGTTAATATTTAACAATGCCCATGGTATGTATGTCTGAAGACTAAAATCAGTGAGATATAAGTACAGGAAAACAGTACGCATGTGGGCAGCTGTAGGTCTCAGATTACAATTGTGATGTTCTCTGCCAGTATTAGGTCATTTTTGTATCAATCACCATGGCATACTGTATATTATATGCATTTTATGCTGAACTAATTAAAGTCAGTTAATCAGAGACTGATTCTGATTTTGAGGTTACAGTTGTCAATCTTTCTCTATAGCATGTATGCAACCTTTGGCAACACAACACAATGAAGTCATCTTATCAGCAGTTCCAGAGATCTGTGAATGCGCTATGCTTTGCTGTTTTTTACCTCAGTTCTGAGAACTCAAATCCAGACTTGCATTACCCTGTTAATACAATAATTCTTACCACATGTCAATAGCAGACAAATATCCTAGCTAATGGATTAAAGAAAACAGCACATCATACAAAATATCCTTCATTATACTTGATAGAAAAGTGCTGGAAATAACCCTGTTTCTGAAGTTTTTATAGTGTATTATTTTCTCAAGAAGCAAGCTGAGCGTGTGATATGCGGATGCATATTGGATTTTAAATACAAAATAGAAATAACAAGAGAAAATCTCTAAGTCAGTACAGCTCTGATGGCTCTTCCAGTCTTCCAGAACCAAAGGTATATGGTTTGTTCCACACGCACATTGTATTTGGAATTCAACTCTCTGTGTGTTTTGTTTTCAGCTACTTTGCTTGAACAGTAATTGAATGATGAGCTCTCTAGGTTATGATGGAATAGCCCGTATATTGAATATTCACATGGGTTAGCATGTTGTTCTGAGATAGGAGTGGAAAAGAAACCAGCCAAAATGTAAAGTCAGTTCTTCAAGCGTGTAGTAGTTCAAGTAGGTGGCTGTGTCAGCATGCGTAGGCTGCAAAGGATCAAGTAAAGCTTTACTCCATGCTGAAAAGAGAAGAAAGGAAACACAAGGTTTTGGTTGTGGAGCCTTCTTTGCCCAAGAAGTCACCCCTCACACTTGAAGAAGGCTCCACAGCTTAAACGTGTTTCCTTTCTTCTCGGTTTTCCCTACATCAGCATGGAATAAACCTTTACTTGTTCCTCTTCAAGAGTGTGTCTTACTGATGTCACCGGACATAGACATCTCCATGTTAAAAATGAATAAAAGAACTGGGTACTGCGGGATATCACAGAAAAGCCTAAGGAGTAATTTATAATAAATTATGTTAAAAATGCACTAGCATTTGTTCTGCACCTCAATTTGTTTATATACAAAACTTTCAAAAGGCACACATTGTTGTACAATAATTCTGAAAATTCACAATACCAAAACTACACAATGGAAGCAAACACATGAAACTCAATACAAGTGAACTATATTAGTAAACTACATAGGAATGCAATGCTAAGGAGTATCCAGGGATGCAATGAGGCTGCTAGGGTTTATAGTTATAATTATTTGGTTTAATCGTTAGCACCAGGGGAGGGTATGCTCGGTGCTGGGTCTCTCCACAGCTGAGTATTTGTTCCTTGCCTGGAATGAGATCCTGGGATTAAATAAAGGGTTAAATGTTCGTGACCTAACTGGTTCTTGTTCTTTGCTGTTTATTACAGAAATTATCTTTTCCCTTTTTAATATACAAGGTGATCTGGGTCACTAAGCTGATGCTCCTTCTCAGGATGCTTGGAATTGGCCCGAGATCCATGGCTCCCATAAAGCCTGCTCTGAATTTAAAGTGTGCTCATCTATCACAAGGTGTCAGTGGTGGCAAGTTGCTGTTGGCCTGGTTGTAATTCATTCTTCACTCATTTCAGGTGTAGGTTGTTTTGTTTTCATTTCAGAATCTGATTTACTCCAGCACCACATGTCAATATTTTGCGTTTGTATTTTTTTTTTTTACATTTAGAAAGAATTCTGCAGTTGCATGTTCTGAGAACACTCAGTAATTACAGTTTTAAAGTGTATCCACGATAGAGAGGGACAGCATGGACAAGCCTAACAAGGAGAACAAAGCTGTTTTCTTTAATGAGGACTTGTACAGTAGATCATTTTGTATATCCTAGAGAAGAAAGGGTTACAGTGTGCCCTTCTGACACAGAGAGAAAGAAAACAGTGTCTTTATCTGTCAGTTCTTGGCTTTGGTGGTACTGGAGCCGACTGTGACAAATCATTAGTGTCAAGTACAATGGACATAGTGGTTGCTGGCAAGCCAGATTCCTCCAGGCTGGAATCTTAAATTCTATCTCTTCCATGAAACCAGAGCAGGGTTTATACCAATCACGGCTGCCTGGTGCTGACAGATAGCCTGTCCCCTTGGTGCAGTTAAACTTAGACATGGAGCCTACCCTGGCAAACATTAATGGAATTGAGGGATGCTTGTAGACTGCAAAAATGGAGTGTTGCTTATTATCTTTCAGCTCTTGTAAAAATTAGCACGGAAATCTATGGAAAACAACATTAGGAAACGTTTACAGTTGAACACTCCGTATACTGTACATTGGTAATCTAGGATGCACTTCGAGACCGGGATGAAATCACTGGTATATCTGTAGCTCCAGGATGTAATTTTCATTTGCTAAGAGTTTTTTTTTTCATGTCAAAGCTGTAGACCTTTGCAGCTGACAACATTGAAGGACTCCAGAGTTTTCTACATTAAATAAAGTCTCCCGTTTGTTCACAAGGCTCCAATTAGACTTAGATACAGTATATACTGTAGTTATATAATATAAAACTCTACACCACAGCAACAAAAACAGCTACGACATAATTTCTTAGCCATGTTGTCTCTACTCCCAGTGTCACCTTCATAATCTTTTGAACTGAAACACTGTCAGCTATCAATGGTGGAGAAATTAAAATGGTGTAATTTCCCAGTTTTGCAATAACCTCATCATGAGTCCCTCTTAGACTGTAATAAGTCTGTTGTCTGTTCCTGATTGTGTGCACAACAAACTGCAGTGAGGACATGGCCCAGGAACAAGAACATGGAGCAGAGAGATCTGGTAGGATGACATCAAATTGTGTTCTTTATCACCTGTTAGTGTTTTATTTTACATACATTCAACAGTGGAGTAGCACTGCTGCAGCAGACACAGAACAGAGAACGTAGGGTCTCATGCTGAAGCAAGATTCCTTATTCTGTAATTTTGTTCCCACTGAGGGCAACAAAACAACAGCTATCTTGCCACAGTCTGCATTCTTGCTCCTAAGTAATTCCTAATAATGTTTCATCCTGCCACTGACTGCAGTAATTCTGCATAAAAATGAAGGTGGTAGATGTTTCTTTATGGACTGTGATGTCACAGTGCTGAATCAGAAAGAAAAACAATAAACCAGATAACCGGGACATTTCAGAGAATTCGTTGGCTAGATCATAGAATCTGATGGTTTCATTTTTTTAGAAAAGGGGGGCATTGGCAGTTACAGACGAACTCACTGTAGACTGCAAAAGCTTAAAGTTCTTCTGGAAAAAGAAGTCCTGGCAGTATCATTGTCCGATACAGGGAAGGGAGGGAGGAGGCTGATCAGGCCACACTGAACAATGACTCCAGCTTCAGGACTGGATTTGATAGAGCGAGAAGCCTGTGTATTTACTGGACTAAAACAATCGCTCCATTCATGGGTCTGTTCCCCGCTCCGTCCCTACGTGGTCCTGAGCAATGCACACTGCCGTCTATAAAGCGTGACGATACAGATGTGCAGGCTGTACCTACTGTATCAGTTCATTCAAATGTGAGGATCACTGTGGTAAACGCTGCAATGTGATTGTTACCATCCTGCACCATGCCACTCCTGGGCAATATCTGTAATGACAAATATAAAATACTGTATTTCTGCTTAAAAACAAACACTAAGGTGTACTGAAGTCTACCAATAAAAATGCCATCAGCACTATTTTTATCTACATGTAATTTCCTTGCAAAAAGGTGCATAGAACGAACACTGTTGAGCCGTGAAGATTTTTTGGCATAGCATTGTGTAATAAATATCATACTGGTTGAGTAAAACTCTTATAAGTTACTATATCAAAAGCCACAGTGTTGCAGTGCACAGCTGCTACATGTGACCTTTTCAGCAGGAGTTCCCGTGACTGTCATTTGTCTTCATTTGAATGAGGCCAACCATAGATCAGCAATCGACGGATTTAGAAAAATAAAATGCTGTACAGTACATTATAACAACGAGTGGATATAACATGCTTTATTACGTCTTTTCTTAATATTTGCTCTAATTAGAAGGAAATAGTTCTTAAAAAAGTTACACACAAATGACCCGAAGCAAAACAATAAGGAGGTCTAAGTGTTTTTGCTTATCAAATTAAATCACTATTCTTGGCCACTAATCAATTATTTTAAGGCGAAACCTTAATTCACGGAGCAAGTAAGATTTTGAGAGGAGCTGCAAGATTTATGGGCATGAATAATTACAGTATCAGATCCAGCATTTAGAAAGGCAATGTCAAAATTGTAATGTAAGGAAGTGCATGTGCCATCATTTTCTCTTCATTTTACACGTTAGCAATGTAATTACTGTCGTCCGGATAATCAAAGCGCTTGTGTGACGACGTATTTTTCTCATCTGTGCGATTTCACCGTTTGCAGTTTTCATGCCTTCTCTCATGACTCTGCCACTCTCGCACTTTCTGATTTTTGATTCCCCCTCCCCTTTTATCCTGTATGCCTAACCCCCCCCTTCTCCTTCTGCAGATTCCAGAGCGGAGGTAGCAATATAGTACATTAGCAAGATGGCGCTCTCGTTGTCAGCACTAGAACAGCTCCTTCTCTCATATCTAAACCGCTCTGTGCTGCGAGATTAATCTCATTCCTGAGCAACACATAACAGATCTAAATATGCACAATATCAAGTAGCAGGTAGTCGATTTCTGTGCTTTGTTGCATTTTTAAACACAACAATACTGCTGAGGCGGACATCCTTACTATCGCGGTGTGTGAAGAGTGGGAAGCGGATAACGGGCTGAGATTTGGTGCAGAGACGAGGAGAAACGGGGATTTAAATTTAACAGCATCAGATTGGTATCGTATAGAACAAGCAGGCACCGCTGCTTGATTTAGTCATGTAACCAGTTTTATTTTTTCTGGCAACAGCACGTTAAAAACTGGAGGTGTTTTCTTTGCACCCTGATGCAAAACGAAAAGGAACAGAATTATCTGAAACATCTGCATCTTAATCCATTACATGCATTTAGTTATGAAATGGTGGAGTATGGCTTGTGACGCTTAGAGCGTCTTTGGATAGGGGAAATGCAACACTCGAGAGGGCAGTTCGTCATTTCTTTCCTTTTAAAATAGCCTTTTCTCATACTGCATTGCAACAACACGAGATTCCTGAAGTGGAGGATGTGTGCGAGGCTCTTTGTACTGGTCATGTCTTCATCGTTTTTCAACCCCAGCTTTGCCTTCAGTTCTCATTTCGACCCAGGTGAGTGCTGATTTAAAAAAAAAAACGACAACGATCCCGCATTCGCTGTTTAGACTGCACAACTAGCTTGAACAGTTCGTTTTGAAATCTTTTTTTCGGCTTTGCCCTGTTATGCCGTCTATCCGCGTATTTGCTGCAGCGTGTGCAGATAATTCCTCTGCGCTGCACGTTTAGAGGTTATCCTCCAGCGCTTTTCCGCTGTGGTTAACCCTCTCCGCGTCGGGATGTAGCCGGGGGATGGGCTGCTACAGTATGAGGGGCTTTAGGAGATACTGTATCACTCATAGGTGCCGCAAGAAAAACAAGACATTAACCTGCACAGGTGGGGTTAGTTGCCTGTGAGAGTACAGTATTTCCTCCCAAAATTGCTTAATCGGGAAACGCAACAAATGAGGCATGGTTTTTACAGCACACCTGGTAAAACGAGTACAACCACACTCCCAATAGGAAAGCATCGGAACTACTGGAGGCAATGTCTGGTTGTAAACCCAAGGTCTCTGAATAATATATACACTAGCATTTAACTAAGGTTTGGCGGCGATAGGTTTTAACCATCTTCATTCCTGGCCCTTCTGGTGTTCTATTAATTACAATTTGCAAAGAATTAAATTCAATATACAGTAACATTTTACGGTATCGGTTGAATGCACGGTGACATCGTGGCGGTGCAGGTTGGAAGAATGGTGTACTCGTTGGAAATAACTCTGGTCATGGCTGCCGTTAGCGTTACCTGTCTCTGGAAAACCTGCGCTATGGGATCAGACCACTGTCAGAAGTATTCGGATACTCGCTTCCAGTACCTGCGCTCGGAAATCACCCCTCCCCTTCATACAACATCGTCAGGATTCTTGAAAAAAATCCCCAACCCCCACATTTCAGCAGATTTTATGTACTGTAGGATTTGTGTAGAATCTTTGTGTGGGTTTATACTACCTCAGTGTACACCAGACTTATTATTTGTACCAGGATATTTATTGTTGTGGATTAAAGATATTGAATTGACATTCTTATTCCTTCTTGCTTATCTGCTGTCCTTTTTCCTGTGTTTAGATCTGTGGAGACTAGCTGGAAGGTGCTCATTTACATGAATACTTTTGATGAATGAAGTGCTTTTGATTTGACTTTTCCTACAAGCTGTTAAGCGTGAAATAGTCTGTATCAAATATGAGCAGAAAATAACCTTTTAAATATATATATATCCACTTGTGGCAATGAAATTATTAGAAATGACTGAACAACAATGCTAATTTAGGGCATGAAAATCAATGCATTTTTATGACATGGTTGTATGTCTGGAAAAGCACTTCAATATTTCTGTTGCAGTGGAGAGAGAAGTGACACTGTCACCCTTACTTCTGCGTCACTCCATTGCGATGGTTGGATTGCAGTTCTTTGCAGACTGAATTAAAAGGGATCAGGATTAGCTGTGTAATTATTTACCCTGTGGTGATGGCATCCAGGAGCTATGAGAAGGTCCCAGGCACCTTTTTAAATGAAAAATAAGCCCAATTTTAAAGAACACTTTCCAATTATTTATTGAGAAATATGTAGTTGGAGCCCCAGAGTGAACTGAAGGAAATGTTTTTTGTTGTAGTACACCTGTAGAGTGGCAATGCTTTAAAATGGAAAAGGTGATGACGACAATGCCGGTTTTGTGAGCAATTGCGTATCTCTAAAATTCTGTTTGTGCTGGTTCGATGCTCAGCTGCAGTAGTCTAATCAAGATGGCCTTTGTTGGACCTCTGAATTGGTTTCCATGGTGACCAGAAGGCTCCTGGTCTCATCACTGGTTGAATTTGGTTTATAATGGACCCCTGTGGTCTACAGCCTTGACAATTCTTCCTCAGCATGGGTGTCAGGGTACAGTACACCAACCTTCTGCATCATTATTGATGTTCTAAGGGAATGCTGTAAATTGTTCACCTGGAGATTTTGTAGGAAAAAAATCCATTGTTTCAAGGTGAGAAGAGTTTTCCACAGCTTAAATGATTTATGTTCAGACAGTATAAAGTATAATGTGGGGATTATTATTTTTGCTCTTATTTAGAAGTAAACTGTTGAAACTCTAAGTCATATTCAGGCTGTGCATGAACAGATGAATCCCTTAAATTATATACCCATTTGACCCCTGTTCAGAGCACTAAAGTGCTGTGAATTCACAATCACGGCTCTTTATATTACATAGAACTGATGTAATAACTGCTTGTATCCTACCCAGGAATGTAGGAGATATTAGAAACTTCTCCCTGTTGTTATCAAAATTGTTATGCTCAGCTACAGTACATTTTAAGCACAAAAGTAATCTGGAGCTTTTTTAATTGTTCAACAATAACAATTAAACTACACTATTTTCATAAATTCTCATGAAGGAATTAGTGATCAGCAATTATTAATAAATATAAGTATATCTGTATAAAATTATTGTTTTTAAAGACTTCGCAGTATTGGAGGCTTTTATCTTCAAAATAGTTTCTAGTCACTTTAAGTTGTATACAGAGTCAACGAAGTCGATCTTGTATTTGGATTTGTAGTTCTTCTACGTTTGAGCAGGTAAAAACAAACAGCCTAAGACTATACTGTTTAATTCAGAAGGATTTGAACCATAAAATTTCCTATTTGCCTACGGGGTTTGTCGTATATTGGAAATAAATGGTAAACATAAATGAGAAAAAAACCCGACTATTTCTGTCAGAGCAATTGAGCTATCTCGAATCTGTCTCAGTGCATCTTATATGGCTGGTAACCAAATCAATTGACTTTGCAGTGAGCTGCCATCAAATTCTTGAAATTAGAAATAATTGAATTTGGAGTCAATGTACCAGAGGTGATAGATTGAGAAGAGAATTCAATTCAGCAGGGCTAAGTAAAAATTATCCAATCTCCAAATAACGGATACTTCAGCAATCATGCGAAGGAGCGCAGCTGGACTAATTATCATGTGGATGTGATTGAAAATATTTCTGGCTGGAGTAAGTAACTCTAAAAGCTGATACTAGTTCAATTAGACTTTAATTACATGCAATACGGTTTGTGATCGGTGCATGGATTTTTACGTTAGCGATTTATCAAAAAAACATGCTCTTGCGGACCACAAGAGTAGGCTGAAATAAACGGACTCGTCTATGAATTGGTAATCCCCAGTACTCAGACTGTATTTTTTTTTAATCTATTGAGTCATCTCTGGTGGATTTTAATTCTTTTTAACTCAATCACGCCGCTGTTGTCAAAGCTGCGCGGCTCATGGGCCGTGGCTTGCCGGGAAGGCGGTGACATCATCGAGACTAAGGTTTATCGGGTTTACTGGCAGGGCTGGCTACGACCTGCGTGGACAGGTGTTTATGTCTTATGCAGTATATTTCATTTGCCTACCTTGTTATCGTGGTGGGGATGGCTGCATGTACATTACGCAGCATGACTCTACAGATCTACAAGACCGTCGGAGCAAGAGGAATGGAAGTCTAGGTAAGTCTGGAAAAAAACTTGTACTGCATTCTGCTAGTGACTATAATACTCTATATATGTTACTATAATATGATCAAATATTCATTTTAAAGCTTTTTATAAAAATATGACTTGATCTATATGGTGAGAGGGAGCACTGTTGTTTCTGCACTTCTAAACAAGCCTTAACAGATCCGGGATCGTGCATCCTCTTATATATTCAGTTTTCCCAAACCAGAGTAATTAAACTGCCTCAAGGAATTTTAAATAATTTTCATTCTTTAAGAAACACCTTTATATTGTACCTGTCTGCATTTTATATTATGGTATTTTAGTTAGATTCCTTAACTGGTCTTTTATGTAGTACTTCAGTGATATTGTGTCTATTGTATTTGCTTCTAGAAAGATTTATCTGGGTGTCTTTAATTCAGCTAGATGTTTTGACTCCACTTTGATTTACTTTTTCATCTTGGTGTGATACTTTTTGCTTTTATTTAGTGCTCTTCATGCAGAACATACAGTACCAGTGCACCATAAGTTCATATAAAAAAATAATTTTGGTGACCATTTTTACAATTCAAATGCTATTAGAATTATAGCAATTCTATAGAATTAGAATTATTAAAGTATTAGAATTTCCTTTAAGTTGGTGTACGTACTGTAGCATCAGTTATGAACCATTTTGTGTGCAAGGTGTTCTTTAAGCAGCCCTTGAGAAAAACTTAATAGCAGCCAAAAGGATGGTATGAAGACCTGAAATTACTAGTACAATAAAGACTTGTGTCCACTGGGCTGGGTAATACCTGTAGGATAATTGATTGTGATGGCCGGAAAGCTGCTTCAGCTGAAGGGCACTGCACTTATCCCAGCACAAAGATCATTATCCACAGGAGCCTGTAGCTCTTGATTTGGAGACTGCATTGATAAACTGCATTAATCGCAACATTTTTGAGTGAAAGGTTTCTAAATCCTTTTTAGGGGGATGTGATAAGGACTTAGTTTTATTTTAATCATTGCTTCAGCTGGTTGGAAGCAGTTAAAGACCCACCCCAATTCACCTTCAATTAAAAGGTTCTCAATATTCTGAGAGAAAAAAATCATATAACCATGAGAATTTTCTAATAAGAAATTGTCCAGTTCCCTTTGCAGCACTCGTATACAGTAGATGTGAGCACTGTAACTATTCCTACAGTAAAGAGTTAGCAATTATCAAGTGATTTGAATGTAAGCCATTTTAATGCTATTTTATGACACCTTTCTTCAGGTTGACGTCCAATCATATTGTAACGCTCCAGGGTTCACATGGGTGCAGTATGCGCCCTCACCGTTGCCGCCTCAGCTCGGCCCCCCCACTGTCGGGGACTCGAACCTGGGCCTCTGGCATCGCTCAACAGGGACCCAGCCAGTTGAGCTAAAGAGAGATCTCCCCTCAACCCGGCAGCTGCGGTCCCTGCTATTCACAGGGAAGGGCGGTGACGTCACCGCACTCTGAAGCCGGCTCTCACAAGCAATGGTGGCCGTATGCGTTACAATATATTACGATGACAAAATACAAGGAA